AAGCTTCTTTGCGCCACTCTATGGGCTTGGCTCTCTGGCAAAGTTTTGCTGGGGGAGGGGGGGGGATGAGAACTTTAGGTGACTCTGGTTGGCCAGACTTGGTTGGCAGCAGGTAGGTCCTATATCACATGACTGTATAGTCAGTGTATGGGAACGAACAACTAAGGAGACATGATGGCCACTGGATTATATGGTTTGACAGGGGAATGAGGCATTCATGGAGGTAGCATGGTCCATCAACTGCTGTTGGCCAAACAGCACCTCCATGTTCAGAGGCAGTCTGCATCTGAAAGCCAGTTACCAGGGGTAAGTCTGTGGGTCAGCTGTTCATATCGTGCAGTGAGTCTCCAACACGCCTGTGGCTGGCCGCTTTGGGTGACTAGGATCATGTTGGATGAGACAGACCTTCGGTTTTATCCAGTGGGGCTCTTCCATAGTTCAGAAAGGCACAGGGCATGGAGTCACTGAGTGCATCTTTGGTTCCTAAAGAGGACAGGTAGGCGGAAACTTGTGGACTGAAGCTGTCCGTCATTGTTCCCTGGAGGGAGGTTTGAGACTTTCCCAGGTTGGAAGAATTTGACTTTTGTGCGGTTGCAAGAAGGGTGTGTTTATGATTTCTTAAAAGAGATTTTGGGCAAGAAAGGCGACGGGGCGGAGAAGGATTGTGCCTGAACTGAAAGAGCTGCAGGGAGGGAATGGGGGTGGGGGGAGCTTCCTGAGTAAGATCTCGGCACACAGATGAGTTTCCACATGGGATGATTTCTTCACTTATTTCCCACTCTTAAAGTTGCCTGTGATAAATCTGCAAGAAGTGGCCGGGCTCAGCAGATAGGGCAGAAGAAGGCAGCACCCTCCAAGAAAAAGGGTTAGCCAGAAATCGCCTCCCTCTCGAGCGCCGAAGAATAGATTCTTTTGAACTATGGTGCTGGAGAAGACTCTTGAGAGTCCCTTGGACCGCAAGAAGATCAAATCAGTCAATCCTAAAAGAAATCAACCCTGACTGTTCCCTGGAAGGCCAGATAATGAAACTGAAGCTCAAATACTTTGGCCACCCAATGAGAAGGGAGCACTCACTGGAGAAGACCCTGATGCTGGGAAAGATTGAAGGTCAAAGAAGACGGGGACGGCAAAGGATGAGATAGTTAGACAGTGTCATAGATGCAACGAACATGAAATTGAGCAAACGTCAGAGGATGGCGGAAGACAGGAAGGCCTGGCGTGATCTGATCCATGGAGTCGCGAAGAGTCGGACTCGACTGTGCGACTGAACAACAAAAACTCGAGCCCCAGTCCGGGGGGTGGGCACAATTCTGCCCCTGCCTTGAGGAATTTCCCATCACCCCCGGCCCCTGCTCTTCGTCCAGAGGAAGTCTCCCAGCGCTACGCATTCCCCCATTTTAGTTCCTTTCCTTCCTGGTAAGTGCAGGCAGCCTCTCCTGCCCCCTCCACCTCCTATTCTGCAATCTGCCAGCAGGGGACCTCCTGGGTAAGGTTGCCAGCCTCCAGGTGAGGTCTGGGAGAACTCCCACAGTTACAGCTGAGCTCCACTATTAAAGTCCCTCCACCTCCAATTCTCTGGGAATTTCCCAACCCAGGACTGGCAACCCTGTCCCCAAGCCTCAAACTTCCTGGGGTGAATAACCTGAACCAAGGATGTAGCCCTGCTGATTGAAGGCCGGGGCCTCACGCGATTGCACACAGAGTTTCCTGCACACAGAAAACTAGCACCTCAGGAAGGCTGGGTTGGAATCCTTTTCCTTGAGCTGTTACTTTACTACAACCAAGAAAGTGTTTTGCGTGGAGGCAGGTTCCAGCATATAAGGCCTGTCCCAACCCTCTGCCAGCCTGCATTCCCAAACGAAGGTTTTTCTCTCAGTTTCCTGGGCAGAACTTGATCTATTTGTCAGTATTCCATGGCTGATAATCCAGACTAATCAACACATTCTATATCGCCTACAGTCATTTCCTTTTGTATTTTGGTGTAGTGGTTAAGTGTGCGGTCTCTAATCTGGGAGAACCGGGTTTGATTCCCCACTCCTCCACTTGCACCTGCTGATGTAGCCTTGGGTCAGTCACAAGCTCTGGCACAGCTGTCCTTGGAAAAGAGCAGTTTGTGTCAGAGTTCTCTCAGCCCCACCTACCTCACAGGGTGTCTGTTGTGGGGAGGGGAAGGGAAAGGAGTTTGTAAGCCGCTCTGAGACTCCGAGTGAAGGGCGGGGTATAAATTCAATCTCTTCTTCTTCTTCTATATCCCCACAAATGTTTTTGTTCCCAGAAGTCAAACTGAGACTGCCAGTGATAGGCAAAGACTGGCACCTTTTGTCTCCCTTTTCTCAATTGAACTTAACTTGCTTGATTGAGGGAACTGAAGCACCTTTCAAAAAAACCCGTTAATAATAAGTCATTTGATATTAACGTTCTTCACATTTTCAGCAATCTCCATTTTGGCAACCGTAAGACGATCCCGTTCCTATAGCCTACAGTGGCAAACTCACTTAAAGCTCCCATTAAATAGCCTTCTTTTATTTATATAAAACATTTATAAGCCTCCTTTCTTTCTCACAGAGGTCAAGGTGGTTTACAACACAGATAAAACACATAAACTATATTAAAAACAATAAAACCAAACTTTAAAGTCCCAACTCAGGACTGCTCCTAAACTTAACCAAATGTAGTCCTAAATAAAACCACCTTCAACCACCTCCCAAAGATCACAAGTGAGGAGGGGACCAGGCTCATCTCCCTGGGGAGGTTGTTCCATCATCATGGGGCGGCCACTGAAAAGGCCCTCTCTGTACCTACCAGACAAGTTTCTTTGATTGGTGGGAAAGTCAGGAGGGCCTCGCCCTGTGATCTTAATTCCCAGGAATCCATGGGAGATGGTTCTTCCCTAACCCTGGTCCCAAGCCATGTACAGCTTTAAAGGTCAAAACCAACACCTTGAATTCGGCTCAGGAGCCAGCGTAACTGCTGTAATATGCGGGTCACAAGCTCCCAATAGCTGGCTGTGACCAACAGTCTAGCCAAATTTCAAAACGATTGGACCAGGGGATCCAATTCTATGAGCTCCCAAAGAAGGTGCTCCCATCCTGCATTATTTCCAATAGAGGGAAAGCATTTAAAAGGAACGCAGTCCCTTTAAATGCGACAGCAGCTCACCTGGAACTCATTTAGGAGCATCACTCTCCGGAGCCTCCCTCCCCTCTCCCGGAGCCTCCTGGTAAGTCCCCCAGCAACCCTAGTCTGGGTGGTGGGTTTGTAGGGAAACAAACACTCCCCCTTCCTCGGAAGCAGAATCTAAGGAGCATCTCTTCCCCAAAGCAGAGCTGATCTGCCCCACTCCCTGTGGCAGCCATTTTGTGCCTCTCCCTGCCCACCCATGGCAACCATTTGGGAGTGCCATCCACTATCCACTACGCAGATTCCGTGGATTGGTGGTCTGACTCCGTATAAAACAACTTCACAGAAGCCTTCAGATGCGCAGCTGCATCCCGTTGTGAATTAGCCCTTTTCAGTCACTAAGTTTTCCTACGTCCACAGGTAGAACATGCTACATGCAGTCCCCATGAGATGCTATTTTGTCAAGTATGTGTGTCCCATGAGAAAAATCTCCACATTGTTAAGAGGGGCTGTGGCTCACTGGCAGAGCATCTGCTTGGCATGCCGAAGGTCCCAGGTTCAATCCCCGGCATCCCCAGTTAGAAAGGGTCAGGGAGGAGCTGACGGGAAAGACCTCGGCCGGAACCCTGGAAAGCTGCTGCCAGTCTGCGTAGACAGTACTGACCCTGATGGACCGATGCACTGACTCAGCACAAGGTAATGATGACGAAACTCTCCGGATTAACAATTTCTGTTTCGTAGAGCCTTCATCAAAGTTCAACAACATAAAGATGTCATTCCTTATTTTTCAAAGAACAATCCTTCCATTCTCAAAATATATAGTTTCTAATCCATGCCATGGAATACATTTTAATACCTGTTTTCACAAAGCAGGCAAGCTAATCATAACAACCTTGCCTGCTTGCCTGCTTTGTGAAAACATGTATTAGAATTTATTCCATGGCATGGATTAGAAACTGTATATTTTGAGAATGGAAGGATTGCTCTTTGAAAAATAAGAATGACATCTTTGTGTTGTTGATCTTTGATGAAGGCTCTTGTTGTTGTTCAGTCGCACAGTCGAGTCCGACTCTTCGTGACCCCGTGGACCAGATCCTGCCAGGCCCTCCTGTCTTCCGCCGTCCTCTGAAGTTGGCTCAATTTCATGTTCGTTGCATTGATGACACTGTCTAACCATCTCATCCTTTGCCGTCCCCGTCTTCTTTGACCTTCAATCTTTCCCAGCTCTACGAAGGCTCTACGAAACGGAAATTGTTAATCCGGAGAGTTTCGTCATCATTACCTTGTGAAGACTTCTTTGTTTGTATGTCTGAAAAAAACAAATGGACTTTCGGCATTACATGGAAATATAGATTTTTGTGATATAAACTGCGGCAATTTTTGCACCGTTTCCTTTTTGTGTTTTGCTTTACTGTAATGCGGACTGTGACCTTCTTGCTTTTCTCTGACTCAGTACAAGGCAGCTTCATGTGTGTTCATGTGTTCAGATAAAATGGTAAACATGCACATGAGAAGTAGCACATGCAGTGCTTTCTTCCCATGGGTATGGTAAAACTATAACCCTGAAAAGGCCTATAGTTTCCTGGCAACAGTGGAGTGGGGTCTACCAGTATGGTTTGGCCTACACGGAAGGGTACTGAGATAAAATGCAAATGGTTATTAGTGGCTGTAGAGGTTTTCTAACAACAGCTAATTGTCAGGAGCAGAAAGTGCCATTACTCTCTCCAATGAGCTTCATGGTTGGCTGGATACTTGAACCCAGAACTCCCTGCTCTTAATCCTACACTCTAACCACTACACTGGACTAGTTCTTCCTTCATGCAATCGCTTCTTGCGCTGTCTCATTTGTACGGTTTGAATCTCCTCATGGATTCCTTGGCTCAGACAGGAGCGTCTCCCACAGCCTGAACGCCAGAACGATGACTTCTCTTATGTTTGATACATGCTGAGTTCAGTTTAAAGTTTTTGCCACATTCAGAACATTTGTAGGGCTTCTCTCCTGTATGAGTTCTCTGATGGGCCGTGAGATGAGCTTTCTGACTGAACCCACTGTCGCAGAACGAACACTTGAACGGTTTCTCACTTGTGTGTGTTCTTCTGTGAACAATAAGGTGAGATCTCTGGCTGAAACTTTTCTTACAGTCCAAGCATTTATATGGTTTCTCTCCTGTATGGATCCTCTCATGTTTGGTGAGGCTCGAACTCAGGAGGAAACTCTTTCCACAGTCCAAGCATTTATGCAGTTTCTCTCCTGTATGGATCTTCTGGTGTCTGTTAAGGTCAGGTCCCCGCCGGAAGCTTTTCCCACAATCTAAACACTTGTAAGGTTTTACTCCCGTGTGGATTCCTTGGTGCGAGGTGAGATGGGAACGCCGATGGAAAGATTTTCCGCAGTCCAAGCAGGGGAACAATTTCTCTGCTCTGTGGGTTCTCTGGTGTTTGCGGAGGTGGGATTGCCGGCTGAAGATTTTACCACAGTCTGGGCATTGTTGAGGTTTCATGCCCATGTGAGTTCTCTTATGCTTGAGGAGGAGGACACTCTGACTAAACAGTTTCCCACACTTGTTACATGCCTTTTGTCTCCCATCCTTACCAATCGTCTTCTGGACAGCGACTTTCTTGACATCCTGACCACCATCCTGAGGAGGAATGGGTTTCTTCTCTTCGGCTCCTGTTTTGTTTTTCTGCTGCCTTGTTGATCTGCGTTGAGGCCCAGATGACTCCCCTCCCTCATGACTCTGGAGAGGCCTGTCCTTTGTGCTTCCGAAAGAAGTGTCATGAGATACATTCTGCTCAGAATTGTCTGGCGGTACATTATTCTCCACCCTATTCTCAACAACATGAGCTGGAATAAAGGAGGGGGAAGAGACATATATGAATAAGTTTGACTTTTGGTTCCACTTTCCCATTCTACAGTCCTGTGGGTTGAAGCGCTCAGCCCCGCCTCCCACCTTGGGGTTCCCTGACAGGCTCCATTAAACTTGACTTTGGTTTATTCTATTATATTTTACCATGCTCTTTCTCGGAGAACCTTAGGATTCCCCCCCTACATTTTAGCTACGAGCTACGTATGAGCTACAGCCGCCCCCGTTCTTGAAGGCACAGCCCCACAAGAATTTCTCCAGTAAAAGCTTTTTTCAATCATTTAAAAACATTTTTAAAGAGGTGTGCTCCTTTAAGAAGAGTGGGGTGCTGTAGTTGACTAATTCCTGCACTGAGCAAGGGAGTTGGAGTAGGTGACCTCTAGGATACCTTCTAAATCTGTGTCAAGAAACTGGTCTCTTTTAAGAGAGTTTTTCTGCCTAAGTGTTAGCTTCCTTGACTATAGAAGTCATCAGCCCCACCTGCCGGCCTGTTATCAGAATTCTTGCTTAGGCTGGCAGAAGTGATTAACTTGCAGCCAGTGTGTCCCTCTAAGCTGAGTTAGTGTGAGCTAGTGTTTTTAGCCTCCGACTCACACATTTTTGTCTTAGCTCAGGAAGGATGGCTCCAGAGCAAACTAATTTATGCAGTAGCCAAATTGCTTGCTCACAACTTTAAATGCCAGTAGATCACAAAGTAGAATATTTGCACATAAGATTCCACAGCTTAGAGGGAGCCTTGCTTGCAGCAGCTGAGAACTGTCATCTAAAGTGGTCTTCTAAGTTTGAGGAACTTTTACGGAGCAGGTCTGGAGACACAAAGGGTTTGATCTCGAAACTGTATAAAATATTAATTACAGCATCCACACTGGAAAACCTGAAATCTCAAACATGATGGCAAATGGATTGCCAAGGTCAATTACAGGAACATGACTGGGAAAGTATTAGGAGATTGCCTAACATTACTTCAAAAATCTTTGCCATTAAATTTAACTTGTTTAAGGTCTTAAACCAATGGTATTTGCCACCGGCTAGGCTACACAGAATGAACCCAACAATACACAAATTTCGTTGCAAAAATTGTAGGCTAGTAGCAGGCTATATCCATTGTTGGTGGCACTGCCCAGTAATAAATAAGTTTGGGAAACAAATGTTAACACAGATCAAACTTTACGGGGGTCAACTTACCATTTTGTCCAGAAACGGGCCTGTTGGACTCTTGGCCTGGCATACCTGAAAATAAATTAAAAAAACACTTTAGCAATGACTCTAATTGCGACTGCTAGAATAAGTGTTGCCCAAAAATGAAGAGACTCATCGGGCCCCACTATACAACAGTGGCAAAATAAGATATGGGAACAATTTGTATATGGTAAGATCTCTCCACAGGGGAGTAGTAATAACACAGGCAAATACCGAAACATTTTTTAAAGAGTCCTGATGAGGTACATTTCCGTAATATTGTAATCAGTGGCTCCCTGAGCCATTTCTGGTCAGGAAAACAGTGTGAGGAGCAGAAGGTGTAAGCCAAATAAGGTTCCTGAGAATCAGGTTTTACAAATGGCTGTGAGCACCCGACACATAACTCCCCCCAGGGCACATTTGGTTTGACAGAAACCACAGTTGGCCTGGGGTGGACATTAAACCCACAGTCAGAAGGAGAAGAAGAGTTGGTTTTTATACGTTGCCTTCCTCTGCTTTAAAGAGTCTCAAAGTGGCTTACAATCGCCTCCCTTTCCTCTCTCCACAACAGACACCTTGTGAGGAAGGTGGGGCTGAGGGAGTTCTGAGAGAACTGGTACTGGTCCAAGGTCACAGCAGGCATCATGTGGAGGAGTGGGTAATCAAACCTGCTTCTCCAGATAAGAGTCCAGCGCTCTCAACCACTACACCAATCTGGCCTGGTAGCAGGCCTGGAAGGATACAGTCCTCTGATTAGACCGCACTGGGTGGTACAGACCGGTGGTTTCTCTCACCTGTACTGATGGCTTCACAGTGATTCCTCTTGTCAGGGACCTGAGAATTGGGAACCAGGAAGCATGCCCCTTTCCCTTCTTCCGCCCAGGGTGTCCTATCAGACTTGGTGAGGGAAAGCACTGTTGCCAGGGAGAAATGAGAAAAGGGGGGGGGAGACTTATTGGTGGCAGTCATGTGTTACTATACCATCTCTAAATCTCCCAGCAAAAGTCTTACACAGCAGAGTGTATGTGCATTCACTGTAGGCTTCCCAAGTCCCCCCGGGGGGTGGGGAAAACCCTGCTCGAGAGGCCCGTTCCCCACCACCGGCGCATCAGGCCCCGGGGGGAACCTCCCCCCGGACGTGCGCATCACCCAGAAGTGACGCGACCACACCGGGCACGCTGGGGGCGGGGCCACGGGAATTCCACGTATGCTGTACACTCCCCTTCCTCTCCCCACAACAGACACCTTGTGAGGTAGGTGGGGCTGAGAGAGTTCTGAGAGAACTGGGACTGGCCCAAGGTCACCCAGCAGGCATCATGTGGAGTAGGGAACCAAACCTGCTTCTCCAGGTTAGAGTCCAGCGCTCTTAACCACTACACCACTCTGGCCTGGTAGCAGGCCTGGAAGGAACAATCCTCTGATTAGACCGCACTGGGTGGTACGGACCGGTGGTTTCTCTCACCTGTACTGATGGCTGCACAGTGGTTCCTCTTGTCAGGGACCTGAGGACTTGGAATCGGGAAGCATGCCCCTTTCCCTTCTTCCGCCCAGGGTGTCCTATCAGACTTGGTGAGGGAAAGGACTGTTGCCAGGGAGAAATGAGAAAGGGGGGGGAGGAAGAGTTATTGGTGGCAGTCATGTTCTACTACACCATCTCTCTAAATCTCCCAGCAAAAGTCTTACACAGCAGAGTGGAAAAGTCCATGGATTGTTGGTGTGTGGCCCCGTGTGTAAACAAGGGTGCTATGTGGGGACAGGGGACAGGGATTATAGATCATATCCAGCATACTGAGGACAAAACTAGACGTGACAACAGCCTTGGAGCTAACCTGTGGCCACCAACACCATTTCTGAGGAGAATTTAGCCAGTCTGAAATGGCTGTTGAAGGTGGCAACAGGCGCTCTTGTCCCCCTTCCCCTATGCCTTTTGAAGTGTGGAAACAGCTGTGGGGGGGGACCCTGGCCTGATACTTTAAAAGGCACAAAAGGGGGGAGCAAGATCGCCTTTTGCTGCCATCCTGTGTGCCCAATCAGGATTGGGTTCACACAGCAATTTTAAAATGGCTACATTCTTATTTAAAATGGCACTGGGTGCCACAGATCGGTCCCATGGCCGCCGTCAGATCTAGTTTGGCCCTGAATTTGTGGCATCCTCAGACCAAAATACACGATCCAGTGTTGAAAATATTTTTGTGTTATGTAATAATCTCTGTTTATGATATTTAAGTATTTATTTGTAGGCCACCTTTTCACAATGCCCAATGAGGCTGACAGAACTGGTTTCTATAATGATTACTCTCACCACGTGGCACCCCCCCACACACAAATCTTACAGAAGCTTCCGTTCCCCACCCAAATCTGACACGTGCCTTATCCTGGCCTTTCTTCTCTCGACCTTTGTAGCTCTCAAGGCCAAACTGCAGGTTCAAGTTTTTAACAAGCTGAATCCATGTTCCCACATGGAAAGAGGGCTGGGGGAGAGTTGTTTCCCTGTTTTTGCTTCTCCACGTGGAGTATTCGATGCACACAGAGCAGCAAAAATGGGGAAATGGCTGGGGGAGGGGGACAGTAGCCCTTCTTTTCCCCACAACAGTGTTCTGAGAGTATTTGGGCTCTTATTTTAAAAAGTCACCCCCCTCAACTGCTGCATGACTGCAGCGAACCAGACTTGGGTCTGGGAACCCCGGACTCAACTCGTTAAAAACCCGACCGAGCAGTTTAGGACTTCACAGATACACTTCTGTCCCCCATTTTAGTGCTTGTTGTGGGAAACGTTCTGTGTGCTGTGGAAGAGAATGAAAATGTCAACCAATCAGTGAGTGCCTTCACTCTGATTTACCTGCATGACATCACCACATAGCCAAATCCAGTTGGGTTCATGGGAATTCGCTCTGTGTGTGTGTGTTAGGAGGGTAGGGCTGCCAAATCCCCCCGGGGGGCGGATTTCCCCGCCCCTCGCTTTGGAGGCCCGATTTCCGCCGCAGCGGAATTGGGCCCTGGGGGAAAACCCTCCCCGGCGTGCACGTCAGCCGGATGTGACGTGATGACGCCGGGCATGCTGGGGGCGGGGCCACAGCCATTTGAGGGGAAAACATAGAGTCCGGGAGCCCCCTGCCGCAAGAAGAAACAGGTTTGGCAACCCTATAGGAGGGGGTCATCAGGAAGGCCGAATGAAGGTAGTGCTTCCTCCCTTCCTGATTCAGCTTGGTGATGTCGCCATAAAACCAAAGCTGATTGGCTGCATGTCACCATGCTCTAAATTGTCCTGTTCATATGCTCCGGTGAATACATGTACAATCCGTGTGTACTTGACAGTTCTTTATATGCGTCTCACGTCGCAGTCAACTCATGTACAGCTGGACATGTGGCTGAAATCACACATTTATCCAGGTGCTGGTCCCTGGTTTCCCTTGTAAAGTGAACACACATTGGTTCTTTCTTACAAACAGATATATGCGTGTACAGGCAGGATGTATGTGCATTCATTGTAACACGCAAACAGGGCTAGTGAATGCACATATAATCCACGTATGCTGTACACTCCCCTTTCTCTCCCCACAACAGACACCTTGTGAGGTAGGTGGGGCTGAGAGTTCTGAGAGAACTGGTAATGGCCCAAGGTCATCCAGCAGGCATCATGTGGAGGAGGAGTGGGTAATCAAACCTGCTTCTCCAGATTAGAGTCCAGTGCTCTTAAACACTACACCAATCCGGCCTGGTAGCAGGCCTGGAAGGAACAGTTCTCTGGGTAGTACGGACCGATGGTTTCTCTCACCTGTATTGATGGCTTCACAGTGGTTCCTCTTGTCAGGGACCTGAGAACTTGGAATTGGGAAGCATGCCCCTTTCCCTTCTTCCGCCCAGGGTGTCCTATCAGACTTGGTGAGGGAAAGCACTGTTGCCAGGGAGAAATGAGAAAAGGGGGGGGGAGAGGAAGAGTTATTGGTGGCAGTCATGTGTTGCTAAATTATCTTTCTAAATATCCCAGCAAAAGTTTTACACAGAAGAGTGGCAAAGTCCATGGATTGTTTGTGTGTGGCCCCGTGTGTATACAAGGGTGCTATGTGGAGACGGGGGAGAGGGATTGTAGATCATATCCAGCATACTGGGGACAAAACGAGATGTGACAATAGCCTTGGGGCCAACCTGTGGCTACCAACACCATTTCTGAGGAGAATTAGGCATTCTGAAATGGCTGTTGAGGATGCCAACAGGCGACCTTGTCCCCACCCCCCACACCTTTTAAGTGGGGAAACAGCTGTGTGTGTGTGTGGGGGGGTCCTGACCTGATACGTTAAAAGGCACAAAAGGGGGAAGCAAGATTACTTATTGCTGCCATGCTGTGTGCCTAATCAGGACTGGGCTCACACAGGAATTTTAAAGTGGCTAAATTATCATTTAAAATGGCACTAAGGGCAGCCATGGGTTGGTCCCATGACCGCCGTCACAACTAATTTGGACCTGAATTTGGGGCATCCTCACCCCCAAATACACAATCCAGTGCTGAAAACATTTTGGTGATATGTAAAAATATTTATTTCAAAATTACTGTTAATTTGTCCATTTCTGCGACTTCCATAAGTTTCATAGCTAATTCCTTTCTCTTAGGAATCTTTTCTTGTTTCCAGTACTTAGCTATTAAAATTCTAGCCACTGTGAGCATGTATGTTAATATATACAATTCATTCCCTTTATATTCATTGGGAATTATGTTTAACAAGTATATCTCTGGACACAGTTTTAAGTTAATATGTAACACTTCTGTTATTATATTGCTTATGGGGGAGAGTTGTTTCCCTGTTTTTGCTTCTCCACGTGGAGTATTCGATGCACACAGAGCAGCAAAAATGGGGAAATGGCTGGGGGAGGTGGGCAGTAGCCCTTCTTTTCCCCACAACAGTGTTCTGAGCATGTTTGGGCTCTCTTTTTAAAAAGCCATCCCCCACAGAGTGACTGTAGCGAACCAGAGTCGAGTCGGGGGACCCCGGACTCAACTCATTAAAAACCCAACCGAGGAGTTCAGGACTTCACATTCTGATACACCTCTGTCCACCATTTTGGTGCTTGTTGTGGGAAACGTTCTGTGTGCTGTGGAAGAGAATGAAAATGTCAACCAATCAGTGAGTGTCTTCACTCTGATTTACCTGCATGACATCACCACATAGCCAAATCCAGTCGGGTTCATGGGAATTCGCTTTGTGTGTGTGTCTTGGGAGGGGGTCATCAGGAAGGCCGAGTGAAGGTAGTGCTTCCTCCCTTCCTGATTCAGCTTGGTGATGTCGCCATAAAACCAAAGCTGATTGGCTGCATGTCACCATGCTCTAAACAGTCCTGTTCATAAGCTCTGGTGAATACATGTACAATCCGTGTGCACTTGACAGTTCTTTATATGCGCGTTGGGTAATTCTCACGTCGCAGTCAACTCATGTACAGCTGGACATGTGGCTGAAATCACACATTTATCCAGGTGCTGGTCCCTGGTTTCACTTGTAAAGTGAACACACATTGGTTCTTTCTTACAAACAGATATATGCATGTACAGGCAGGATGTATGAGCATTCACTGTAACACGCAAACAGGGCTAGTGAATGCACATACAATCCACGTATGCTGTACACTCCCCTTCCTCTCCCCACAACAGACACCTTGTGAGGTAG